TGGTGATTCTTAAAATCGTTTTGTTTTTAGTGGGCTCAAGTCAAATATAAGTAGCAATTTTTTTTTTTTTTTTCTTAGCACGACGCAGCACAAATTAAAGAACTTCATCAGTAACGGTACCAAATTAATTTTGGCGGGAAGGAAAAAAACAGTTAGGTGTGAAGTGTGAAGTGGTTTAACTTGAAGTAGGTCCCATCCTGTGGAATTTTGGGTACGCTCTAGACAAGCAATCCCTCCACTTTCGGTGTGCAAAATTTTGGACTTGTTGCCTCTATTCCTAATATATAAACGCTCACAATACAGCTATATTTTTACTCTACCAAGCTTTCTCTTCTCTCTTCTTTACTTACGCACATATACACAGTCTAGTCCTTTCTATTGTCAATTTCGCACACATAAACGTTGTTTTTTACTCCAATCCATTCAGAATTTGCAGTTTTTGAAAGATTCTTGAATGGTTTTGCCTTCCGGTCATTGCAATAGGTTCCAGTTTTGGAAGTTCTAGCTAGTTTTTTTAGACTCAGATTTTGTTGAATTCACTGTCTAAGCTTTGCATTGTACGTAAATTTTGGCTTCTAGGTATTGGTTAAAATCAAGCTTTTAGGTTCATTTCAATCTTCATTTTGTGACTAAATTTTGAGGGTGTTGGTGGGGGCTTCATACTTTGATCATAAGAAAGTCGAGTTTCAAAGGAAGATGGTTCTGTTCTACAATGGGTGCAACCTGTGGAAGTTGTTCTTGATTCTTGGTAAAAGATCCAGCGTTGATAAGAGCTTTTATTTTTGGATTTTTCAAATCTTTAATAGATACAGTCTGGGCACTTAGCAAGAAACCTTCATTCCTCTACTCTGTTTACTCTGTTTTTGTTTTTGTTCTGTTTCCTCTTGTTATTTTTCTTTTCTGTTCTTTCACACTCTAGTTGTAGAGGACTAGATAGATTGAGATAATGGGAGGGGCTTCGTTGCCACCGGGATTTCGTTTTCATCCAACTGACGAGGAATTGGTAGGGTTTTACCTGCAAAGGAAAGTCCAAGGGCTTGAAATTGAGCTTGAAGTGATCCCCGTGATCGATTTGTACAAATTTGATCCATGGGAGTTGCCAGGTAACGAAATCTTCTTCTAGCCCATCTTCTGTTAAGTTTATTCCATGTAAAGAGCTAAATTGTTATGTAGTTAAGTTTCTAGTTTCTACATCACTACTGATTTGTAATGCTTCGTCCAAGTTCCTCATTCCTATCCAAGAAACGATTGCCATGAGAATGTGCATGGTTAATAACCCTTGGTTTGAGAGGCAAATATGACATTGTATAATGCTAGTTGCCTTTTAGATATCTACGGACTATGAGTTAGTTTTTGGTGGGCAAATTTTGACCTAAGCTCAATCCATTCACGTGTTGTTGCTGTAGATATAAACTGTTATGGTGGGAAAGGAGCGGTCTGAAGTCTGAACACAGAATTTTTTTTTTTTTTTGGAAAAAGCACTTTGTTTCTTTTTTTTTTTTTTTTTTTTAATGCTTGCTAATCTTCTTTGTTTTTTATTGATTAATCTGGTTACAAGAATACGTTTATTAATGGGGCCTGCAACTTTTTTCTTACAAAGTCCGGTTCAACCGGATTCTTTCATTTTCAGTAACAGTTAAAGCACTAATAGTGTAACAGTTCCATCCTCTAATTTTCGCACTACTCTTTTTCCTATTGATCACATTGTTATAGGAACTAGGAAATCTGACTTTCAATATGTGATTTGCAGAGAAGTCATTCCTGCCAAAACGGGATATGGAGTGGTTCTTCTTCTGTCCCAGAGATCGCAAGTATCCAAATGGTTCTAGAACAAATAGAGCCACTAAAGCTGGCTACTGGAAGGCTACTGGCAAAGACCGGAAAGTTGTTTGTCAATCTGCTGTGACTGGGTATAGAAAGACCCTAGTTTTCTATCGCGGACGGGCTCCTCTAGGAGATAGGACAGACTGGGTAATGCACGAGTATCGCCTATGCGATGATCTTTCTCAAGGATCACCCAATTTTAAGGTAATTACATTGAAGTTCAGTGTCTATTGAGCATACATTTGAGTTGTTTAGAAGACTGAAAAAGTATGTGGTTATTGTATTTCTCCAGGGAGCTTTTGCTTTGTGCCGTGTAATTAAAAAGAACGAGCAAGGTCTGAAGATGAGTGATTCACAAGGAGAGCCTAAAGCCAAACTGGTGGGCGGTAGTTCGAGCAATGTGGATTTCACCTCAACTGCGATCTCGAATGAGCCTTCAAACATCTCATTTGACATGTCTTCTCAAGCAAGTTACCTGTATAACAATGAGAGTCGATATTCAAGTCCTATTACTTCTCCTTATCAAGTCACACCAATGTCAGAATTGGAGCCAGCTGCATCAATGGAGGGCTATCCTTCAAGCCATTGGATCTCACCTGATCTAATTCTTGATTCCTCAAAGGTATAGCTTAGAGAAAAGGCAATTAATAGACTAAATTGTTATATCAGAAGATTCTTAAATCTTTTCTATGGTTTTGTTTCAGGACTATCCACAAGCCCTTGAACCTGCACCTCAATACCTTCCACAGTATGAGTATCCAAGCTCCATGAATGCTTGGCAGCCAGGCAGACATAGAGAATTCTCGCCTGGTTCATCGTACGCGAATGTTACAGGAGAAATTGAACCTGCCGATGATCTCAGTCACATTGGCTTCATGTCACCTTACTCAGAACATGGAAACTACATGGGTTTTGATGGAAATGATGACATTCACTATCAAGGTTATTGACCAGATCAGTTCACTAAGATATGCACAACCCTTTGAAAAAGAAAAGGAGAGATCATTGTAGCTCTTTTTTCCAATGCAGGATCTGGGCCTTGGAACCAAGCTCCAATTTGCAGGCAAGCAAGTGGAGATGGGAGTATGGGGGAATATGGCGGTCTTTGGTCGCAGGAAGACTGTATGGTGATTGTGATCTAGGGGGTCTGCCCTGAGCAGAACAATCAAGAAGGGGAGGTCTCCAAGACAGCGCCTTTTAATTTTTGTTCTTGGAAGGGAAATAAAGAATAAATCATCTTCCTATTATGTTAAAGTGAATGGTGTTTGGTATGTTATCTTGTTTAGTAGTTAAAAATGTCATCTCAGTTCTTGTCTATTCAGTAAGGTTGTACTACTACTACCCCTGGCGGTAATCACTTTTATAGATTTCACCAGGAGTTGGTTAATTTTCAGTTTGATTTGTCTATCTCTATGGCTTTAAGAAATAAAATAGGCTTCGAAGTTCCTTGTATGTCGTAAGCATTCAAAATCTAGGTTACACCTATCACAAATAAAATCACCTTAATTATCTACATTTTCCCAAATGCCACATGCAAGCACATTAACAGTAAATTATGCCCATTTTGGTCTAATTTGATGCACATCGTGATGAACAGGCAAATCCTTCACGTGCTCAAATATTGTTGTGCTAAAAACCCGGTAGAAACTTTGGAATTTGTCACGAAGCATTTTCTCAATTCTTTACCTTTTCCTCACTCTATTTTGAAAAAGATAAAAATAAAATTGCAGCATGATATGAGATGAACATATGTGATTGTGTTAGGGTGGGGTATGCTCTGGGGACTTGCGATTATTTCTGTTTCAACTTTCATATACAACACTTTCAATCTTTACTCTCCATACTTTGTCAGATTGCTTGGAGCTTTTGAATGCAATATTCTCTTGAGATTTAAAGCATGCTTATGTCATAAGCCAGACCATAAAAAAAGTTGCTTTAAGAAACCCACTTTTATCTTTTGGTCGGCCTTGTATATCACGTTTTGTGGATCTATCAGTGTGAAGGTTACTCCATATAGAAGCAAACTCTAGCTTGCTGTGTTTATAATAGCTGTGGAGAGGTCATTCTTAGATAATTAGCATGATATCTTTCCATTGCCACAAGAAAATCACTCAATAAGGCCATTCCATCGAAGCAATATTCTTGGTCATGTTTAGCCTTCTTTTCCTCTTCTTGTAATGGTGATGGGGGTAACTGACACCTCTAACATCATCTTTTAAAGAGCCCCAGACCCTAGTATTGTATGCGGCGATAATTCTGAATCAACTTAAGGGAAGAACTAAAGCCATGTGTAGGGATCAATATTTACGGTTAAAATCGTACCCAACTAGACTTTTGACCGGAAAATGAACCAATTTTGCTGTCTAAGCAATGTCTTCAAAGGGAACATAATGCTGAAACTTGTTGAAGAATATTCGTCCATTCCCTATGATGAAGTTCTCCATCGACATCGAACTTCAATTACTTTGAGGAATGACCAATGACTTGTGTCGAGGAACAATGAAAGGAATGATTACTTGCAAAGTTGCAAATTATATCATTAACTAATGAGTTCTGGAAATAAGATGGCCAATGAGAACTCAGAAGGGATCAAAAGCAAGTGGCGCAAGCAGATGTCTAATATATACATCAACCGAAGTTTAAACAATTGCGCTTCTCCCTCCTTTCCCTTTGGTAAGAATCTTGACAAAGAGACTGCACTAATGCAACCTTTAAGAATGCTTTCCTAAAAGGCATGTTACCCATAAACTCTTTACATGCCAAACCAACCAATGTTCTCTAAAAATAGATTCTGCCACCACACACCCCCCCACCACCCACCCCCCTCCCTCTCTCTCTCATTCCTTCCTCGAGGAAACCTTTACTTTGGCCTTTTGTTTGAGCGTGTGGTCGGCCCCTTTCCCTCACCAATCGAACACATGATTTGGTAGTTTATAATCTTTTCTTTTAACATTATGCTCCACTTAGGAAAACAAGTTGCAGGAGAAAAGAAGTGCGCCATTTAAGTTAAATAAACATGCATCAATGTAGCAGAGTGAAGTTTTGCGGGGATTGAGATTTATGAGATGCCTACATGATTTTGAACATACCAATAATGTCGTCAAAGGACCAATTTTACTTGGCGTAGAAGAATACTTTCATATATATAGAACTTATTATATATATTCACACACACCTTAGTATAGACTTGCAATTTGAGGACTGCAAAAAACTTGGACTTCTTCGAGAGTAGCCCTGGAATCATCACCAAATATAGACCCCTTGCCATCCTCTCTTTTAGCATATGACAATCCCAGTCTAGACTTGGCTTGCCTCAAGTCACCAATGCCCGAATTCGTATCAGGGCCTGCAAACCCGCCCATGACAGGTGCTAATGGAGGCCCAATAAGCAACCCATCAGCCCCAAACTGAGGCCCACCTCGGGCATAATCGAAAAGGGCTGCACCGCTGCCACCAACTTTGGGTAAGAGGATGGGGTCAATTTTCTTATGGTCTATCCAATAGAAGAGAAAGGCATCAAATGTGTCATAGTAATCATCTGTACTTCTATAGCCTTCAGGGTTAAATGCACCAAACTTGAAGGACTTGTTTGTATAACCTATGATCACACACGGTCCCTTGAAGTCAGAGCAATCATGGAAATTTGTTGCACTAAATCCATCAATGGTGGCTTTGTAGCAGCACTTGAGCTCCCTACCTGTTCATAATTTAGGTCTAAAAAAATGAGGTCCTGTGCGTGCGTGTTACAGAAAGGGAGAGAGAGAGAGACAGAGAGAGAGAGCGATGCTTTACCACTTAAGAATGTTTTGGCAACGAGAGATGTCGAGAAGGGAAGATCAAGATCATGATACTTAGGTTGTGGCCTATCATTAGTATTTCTCTTGCCTATGTTCCAACCAAATAGGCTCTGAGGGCTTGTTTTCCTCTGCGCATAAAAGACTGAGTTCGAGACGCAAGCCATCTAGATGGAACTGATCCAACTACATTCCCTAACATCCTCTAAAAATTCAACAAACACAAGTAACCTTATCCGTAGAATTTCTGTGCTTGGCCCAACCACCAGTGACATGTTGCTTTTGTATTGGTCCAACCATTTGCTAGCGGAAGGCAAGGACCCCACATTTCAGAAAATGTTATTTGGCCACTTGAGGAGGGACTTCGACCTGCTCATGTTAAACAAAATATTATCCGTTGAGACAAATTTAATTTTATTTTCTTAATTTCTTACTTAAAATCTTCTGTAGTAGGAAAGAGCAAAAAAACATAAGCTCTCAAGATTCTCTATCCAGGCAGATAACTTTAACTTAAAAACTAGTAAAATCGATCAATACATCAAAAAGGTGAAAGATCCAGATAAAAATATCCCAACAATGTTACCTGATAGCCCCCTAAAATCATAAGCTCTGAGCTACAAAGGAGATTGAAGTGAAAGATATTGATACTGTAATCACTAAGAAGCATAGAGGGCTTGTCATTGAATTATCCAAAACTTTCAAGGCTTGCCTTAGAAAACCATTGGAACTGTTTGTTGTTGTCAAAGTTGTAGGATGATCTGTGGGATCCAAGGCTTTGTGCAATCGTCTTGAAGCTATTTGGAATGGTGCAACTCCTTTTCGTATTATTGATATGGAGAATGAATTTTTTCTTATCTAGTTTTTCAACAAAAAGGATTACCTCCAAGCCTTGGTTGATGGACCTTGGGCCATCTTTGGCCATGATCTTACTACACAACTTTGAGATCGTTGCTTCCAAGCCTTTGAAGGTCGTGCTACTAGAGTAGTCGTATGTTAGTTTTCTTGATTTACCTATAGACTGGTATCATTTTCGAATATTATAAACATAGGTAATATTATTGACCACACTATTAAAATTGATTTCAATACTCATAAGCTAGAGAGGCAAGTTTATGAAGCTTGTGGTTTATATGGACTTGGTGACTCTTGTGAAAGCATCCATTAAAGTGGAGGATAGAGATCAACAAGCATGTTATGAGTGTTCACCACATATACGTTGCACTTACAGTCGTATTGGACATAATAGCTTCTTTTGTCCAACAAAGAAAACAAACTGTCAACAAGCTAACTATGGAGAGACCTTCAAAAATGATGCTAAAAAGATTGCTACAATGGAACCAATTTCTAGTGATTGGATGGTTTCGGAAAGCTTCGGCTTTTGATTGCATACACCAGTAAACCCTAGGCATAAAACAAGGGAAGGAAATTGTAGGTAATAGTGGTAAACTTTCTAGACAAGGCCAATAAAAAAGGCAGGGATCAAGGTTTAATATTCTGACGATTGATGAGGATATTGCTAGAGGAAATCAAGCCCCTGTTACTGCTATTGCCAACTATATGATGACTGCACATTCCTATTGTAGTCAGGCTCAATTCCAACAAAATAAGGCCTAACCAAACTCCACCTAAAAGATGCCCAGTAATGCTGACCTGCCAAGAAAGACACAAGTGTATAGTACAACCCATCCTCCACCAACCAAGCCAAACCAATGTGAGCCTTTTATAGGGGTGAGCAAACAGTTAGGTTAACCGAAAATTGAATAAAATCAAATCGAATTGTAAAATTTGATTCGATTTTAAATGTAAAATTATATAATTTAAAATCGAACCGAAAAAATCAAAATTATTTCGGTTCGGTTTGATTTTTGGAAAAAAAATTTATGGTTCGATCATAAACCAAAATAAACAGTAAAAAATCCTAATTTCTTCTAAAACCCTAACTTCTTCAATCATTCTCGCCGAAAACCTAAAACCGAAACACACAATCCCAAGTCTCTTCTCGTTCTCTTCTCGTCTTCCACTCTTTCTTAACCTCTTTCGGCTTCATTCCTTATCAAGTCTCCAATCTCTAATTCTCCTTTAGTCCTTTTGTCCCCTCATTCCCTTCTTCATCGGTTCTCCACTTCTTCTTCTCGTTCTTGATCCGTCCTCCTTCATCTCATGATCATCACCTCATTGGTCATCCCTCATTAGTCGGACAATCACCACCCACCACCCTCCTCCTCGGCTCCTTTTACTCATACGGTTAGGCATTGAAGTACCGTAACTCTCGTAAAAAAATATTATATATATCAAAATCGAGTAGTCCGAGAACTATAGTCTCGCCTCGAATTTTGTGTGAATTATATATATATCAAAATTAGTGTGCTCGAGGATTTCATTTTTTCCGAATTTATATGATTTATTTGATGACTTTAGAGTGGTTTTTGGATAAAATTTAAAGAATAAAAGTTGTTCGCCTATGTGTCTACTAGCTCTCTATAAAATTTCATGATTTTTAGACTTATATATAAAAAGTTATGGCCATTTTAGTGTAGGTTGGTCTTGAAGCATCACCGTTGGAATTTTTGGGAAAAGAATGGACAAGGAATTTCGAGTTTTAAGAAAAGAAATTTTCGAAATTTCATGAAGAAAACTATGTTTATATACTTAAATCAAGTTAATTAGGGTGTATATTTAACCTAAAATTTCAGTAGACACCTAAGCAATGCATTAAATGAATTAATAGCCAACTCACCCATTTTTGTCTTAAATTTGCCACCTCTCTCTCATGACTCACTATTAACTTTCCACTTTTTCAAATTAAATCCAGCCATTTGTACACCTACTTAGACCAAGACTTTAAGCATGTATATATATATAGAAAGAGTGCAAATGATAAGAAATTTTTAAGCAATCGTAGCCACTAAAATTGGGAGAGAAAAATGGTAAACAAGAGAGGAAGAGGAAAGGAAAAGAAAAAGAAAAAGAAAGAAAGGGGAAAGCCTACCCAACCTTTAGGAAATTCAAGCAAGATAAGTAGGCACCATTTTTGGTTGATTGATGTCTTAAGTTATTTTTTAAAAGTTAATTTTTAGTGTTTATTTCATGGGTTTGTAATAATTTTTCTATGAATTGCTATGGTTGTTTGTGTTGGTGTTAGGGCTTGCCAAATTGTGATGGATTTATATGTTTTGTTGTCATGCAAAGCTTGTATGAGGTTTAAATGTGTGGATGGGTTGGAAAGGAAAAAGAAAGAAAAATGGTATAGACCGAATGGATTGAACTTAACCTAGGTTTGCTAAGCTTAACTTGGAAAGAAAAAGGAATACACTTCTAGAGTTTCCCTAGGCTAAAACCATTCGGCCAACTCGGGAAAATGGGGAAAGAATTGATCTTTTGGGAAATTAAGAGCCTAGAATATCATGGTAACTCAATTAGGAATGGATTAATAGTTTAGGGTGAAAATAAATTCACTAGACAAAAGAAAGCAATCCGTGACCATCTTAACAACCATCCGGCCTAACTAAAAGAAAAATAGGGTTTTAGACTTCATTAGGTAAATTGGACATTTGATCACTAAATTTGGGTTCCTTGGTGGACCTTAAGGTTTAAATCTCTTTGGTAACTCTTCTAAGTATGAGTTGGTAAGTCATTAAAAAGGAAGAGACCTAGAAATGGAAAAACAATTTCTTGCTTATTTTGGGACCATTTGGCCTAGGAGAGAAAATGATTAACATTGAATCCCTTTTTTGTAAGTAGAGATCAAGAAGTGAAGATGAACGCAAGTATAGATCAATGATTACAAGATATATAAATAGGGTAATGGAAAAAGAGGATTCAAGAAAAATCAAGATTAAAACCTAGACCCTTTATGAGTCGACTTTGACTACTAAGATTAAATATTCAGATTAAGCAAAAATTTAGCTTAAGTATGTCACGTATAAATCCTTAGGATTAATCGGTCTCATACACTAAGTTATACACCGAAAATTCGAGCTTAGACTTATCCGGTACATGAAAAGGAAACACTCATAAGTACGAAGTAGATTTATACAATGAATGATACCGATGAATGAAAATTGTATTCTCATTTTGAATACTTTAAATGGTACATGAAACGCCCGTGAAGTCCCGAGTGTGCGTCGGACACGGGAATGGTCCGAGAAGAAAATGGTAATAGCATAATTAGTCGAATGTGTTAAACATAATACCATGTGCATCACGTGCATTCGGGGGTGATATGAAATCGAGAAACATCATTGAGTCATGAGATAAAACGATTTGGTAATCGAACTAAATAGAATGGGTAACAACATAAAACCATGTGCGTGCTTTATTACTAACATCGTTAAACGAGGGATGATTTTGCTAACTGTGTGCTACAACGAGGGGTAATTCGTTGTGAGCGGTAGGTGATAATGAGATCACCGAGAGAGAGTAATAGAGCGAGTAGGTGATAATGCAATCACCGAGAGATGAAACGCACATGCTTGCTAATATATAGGGTATCCGAATTAAAAATGGATGGGTAGAATGAAAAATAGAACTTCATTGCATATCACGTGCATCACCCCGCTTACCGAGTTTCGGCTCACCTCGTTGTTATTTGCATGTTATGAAAGATAGCGTTGATCGTAGTACCAATAAGGATACCGCTAGATCCTTCAAAAGGGCTCGTGGGTGACATAAACCTTAGGGGATTTTATTTTGTTTATCCGTAATTTTGGGGTTGGGTGTCAATGAATATTTTGATGGTATTGTAAATAAATTTTATCTTTCACTATTTTGTTAATATTATATAAATTATCTTGGTCATGTTTTATTGTGTGATAAGTCCTTAATTTATAAACACACTTGTGTTTAAGGTAAATTCAGAAATTGATCGTGTCGCCGTGACGCACCTCACTCGGTTACTCTTATTTGGGTAATAGAGAGTGAATCATGATGGGAGCGTCACAAGTACTCTTCATCTCTTCCTCTACCGGCGATCTCTCCCAAGGTCGGTCTCTTTTACTTTTTTTTTGTTCACCTCTACATATGTCTTATAGATGGTTGATTGATAAAAATTTATATCGGATCAAAGATTTCCTTTTGTGGATTATTTCAATGTTGTTAATTTAAGAGCAATACATGATTTGTTCATTTGTTGTGTATGGTCTAGGCTAGGTTTAGCATTAATGCAGTTTGGTTAGACACTTGAGTAAGATTAGTTAGCATTAGTGTCGAAAGCTATCGAGTTAGTGGGGCTTGTTTTGGTGTAGCTAAAGTCGACTTGAATTCTTGAATCCGGAGGCTAGACCACCCGAATAGGAAAAAAATTAAATTGTAATTGGGCACTCATAGTCGTGAGAGACTAAGTTTTGTTTTGCTTTTCTTGTTCATAATAGTCGTTATAGATAAGTTATCCTTGTATGTTCAAAAATAATACTTTTAGCTTAGAATTAGTCACATTTTTTGTTTTGGTCTTTGACAATTAAGACCCACCATCATTATGTTTAACGAGTCGAATGCATCAATCATCCATCAATGGATTATATGTGAATTCTTGGGGACAAGGCTAAATGCAAAGAAAGTCAAAAAGATACTGGGGATAATGAAATAGGTTAGCTCTTGGCATAACAGGGGTGTTGTTTAGAGAGTGATCTTCGGAGAGTAGGCCTTCGGGGCACCGAGGCCGTGGACTGTGGCATCAAACAAGAGATAGTTTCCAAAAGAACATGCATATGCATGTATATATGAACATCATAACTTTGTCCTTTATTGTTTATGACCAATAAAACATCTAACCTCTTTTATCATCTAAATTTTTAGATTCATTCTTATTGTGGTTTTTAGATTTAAGAGTACAATGTTGCATCATTATTGTGTTTGTAAAAATTTATTTTGAATTAGATCAGATGTGTGAACTTAGTCTTGCATTTTGTACTAGAGTTGCCTCTAAAAAATATAGTAAGGAATTTCACCACAAAAATTCCTCATGTGGAACAAAAGGAAAACAAGGTATAGATCAATGGTTATGACTTATGCATGCTTTAATTAAAAACAAGTGGGTTAGTTCTTGTTTTCATGTTGTCATAAGCCCAAAACAAAATGGAGTAGTAGCTAATGCTTCTTGTTTTTTGTGCAATTGCTGCTTGAGTGCTTGTTGAAATTTTATAGCTATTGCTTACTCGGAATTTTGTAGCTGCTCGCTTATTGGAATTTTATAGCTGTCGTTGTTATTGTAATTAAAAAATTATTTATCTTTTTGGTTGCAATTGCTTGCAGCCATGTTTTGATTTTAAAATATGTTTGACATATTAGTTTGTAGGTGTCATGGAGTGATTTATGATTGTTCTAGATATTGACTATTGAGCATTGGAACATGATGCTACCGTACTAGTATCTAATTAGAATGTCC